CTCTGTGGCTTTGTTGACTGAAACCACAATGCCTCTCTCGTAGGTGTGTTCTGCTCACTGCCCGTGGCCTTTCTCAGCAGACATTCTATATTCCTGGCATCTCTAACTTCCTGGGGTCTCCAGGGCAGCTTTGGCTTTGTTGTTGTAGCTTCATGCATCATCCTCTAACAGCCTCCCACCCAGAGACTCTGATCCCATATACATTGCCGGGTCTCGCAGGACTTCCTTTGACATCTTGGTAACAGCCTCCATGACCCCATAACACTCTCCTACACACATGCAAAACCAGCTTCGTACAGACACCCAAGTGTGCCACCCACTGGAACCACAGTAGATGGACTTACTTGGGCGGTGGCCACAGTGGCCTCTGAGCACCTGGACAGCTGAGCATGCTGAAGTGATGCCTGAGAAAACCATTTCACCCTCTTCACAAAGCCGTCTTTCAAGGGAGTTTAGGTTTTTTACACCTCGCATCTCCACTGGTGGGGTCTGGCCAATTCCTGAGATGCTCTGAAGGTGAATTTCCTACTACTCCTGCACTAAGTACTTGGCTTCGTTTTAATGGCACTTATTTCTTCGGTGAACACACCCTCTTTGGCTCCAACTTTACAAGGGTTTCTTTTCTAGCCAAATTGTACATTTTTCCAAATCTTTCTCCTCTGATTTTTGCTCCTGATTCTCATGATAAATCTGGCTAAAAGCATCCAGCAATACTCATGCCACTGCCTGAATGCTAGTTTGCCTGGAAATTTCCTTTGTCAGATTAATTAGCACATCATCTTTGAACTTGTCCTTCCCCAGAGTCTCAGGTGATGAAAACATGCAGACAAGCTTTTTGCCAGAGAAAGAATGTAACGTGAGCGACTCTAGTCCCAATCCCAGAAGTCTTTGCTTCCATCTGAAACTTGCACGATTAGAGACTCCTGTCCACAATCCTATTAGCCTTCTAGTCTTCAGAGCTCACAAGACAATTGCCCATCGAGCTCTGTTTACACTAGCCAAATCCCTCCTGCAAACCAGTTCCAGAGGCTTCTGAACCATAGTCCAGTATGGTCACAACAATGACCCCTCTTCTCAGTACCAGTTTTCCCTTGGTCAGCTTACCATTCCTGTGATAAAACACGGACAAATAACAATAAAGGAAAGGTTGTTTTGGCTCATGGGTTCAGATCTAAGATCACTTAGCTCCAGTCACTTGGCTGCTGTGCTCCTGGGCCCATAGTGAAGTAGAAGGATGTGGTGGAGGAAAGCTGCTCACTTCACCAGAGAAACACAGAGACAGCCCGAAAGGAAGTCACCAAGAGTGGACACAGTCCTCAGACTCATGGCCCCATGACCCACTCCCTTCAATCAGCCTCAGTCTCCTCAATTTCTGTTACTGCTCAATAATATCAAATCATGAATTCATTAACGGGTTAATCTGCTGATGAAGAGCCTTTATGACATAATCACCTTCCAAAATCATCACCTCTAAGCACATGAATCCTTTGGGGGACATTTCATAGTCAAACTATAACAGACTGGAAAAGAAATTTCTCAACCAGGCAATCTGAAAATCACTCATCTGAATTAGCACCTGGTCTCAGGCATGTAATGTTAAGTGACCCAAGAATCTAAACAGTTGTATAGTGTCGGGATGTAGCAAGTAAATCTTTCTTAATTGTCTTCTGGTCCACTACCCAGTAATTCTCCAGCCATTGCAGCTGGGACCACACCTGGCACCTGTTAGGGAATAGTCACAAAGTCCCAGACTGGCATCTCCAAGCCTCAGGATTCGGTTATGCTGCATACTACTCTGGTCCTGGCTCTGAACACTTGGTACCCAATCCCTGTCTTGGACTCCACAGTTCTAATCAGTGGGCCTCTGTCTAACCTCTGCATTGTCTGGGGGTTTTGTTATTGTTTTATTTGTTTTGGAGCTATTATGAATGGAATTTTCCTGATTTCTTTCTCAGCAGGTTCATTATTGGTGTATAGAAAAGCTACTGATTTTTGTAGGTTGATTATTTTTGCTGGTACTTTGAATTGAACTCAGGGCCTTCACACTGAGTTACATCCCCAGCCATTTTTTATTTTGAGACAAGATCTCTGCGTTACTGGATTGCCCAGGGAACACTTGAACATGTGGTCCTCCTGCCTCAGCCTTCCAGACTGCTGGAATTACAGGTACACAGACCACACTCAGCTTGTATGTTGATTTTTTTATCCTTATGCTTTGTTGAATTTGTTTATTGAACCTAAAAGCCTTCTGGGGGAGTTTCAGATCTTCTAAGTAAAGGACACTATCATAAGATAGTAATAATTTGACTTCATCTTTTCCTACTTGTATCTCTTTTATTCCTTTCTCTTGCCTAATTATTCTGGCTAAAAATTAGTCTATTTGAGCAGGAATGATAAGAGAGGTGACCTTGTCTTGTTCTTGATTTTAAAAGAAATGCTTTCAGGTTTTTCTGCATTTCAAATGCTCTTAGCTGAGGATTGGTCATACATGGCCTTAATTATATTGAGGTAAGATACCTCTTTATCTAATTTTTTCAGGGTTTTTAATCATAAAAGAATACAGAATTTTGTAGAAGGTTTTTTTCGTGTTTTTAAGATGATTAGATTTGCTTAATTGCTCATTTCACTGTGGATTTTCCAATGCTTGCTGTGGTTTTGTCACATTCTATTAAACTTGTCTGGCTACATGACAGCTCTTTCCCTTCAAAGATTACATTTTCCCTAGACCTAGACCTGAGTTGGGATAACATTCTGTCCACTTCAAATACAGTGTACATCCCTAAAATTAAACTGTACCACCAGATTAGCTTACACACACACACACACACACACACACACAAGGCCATGTCCCTTTTTCTCAGTACTGATAATTGAACCTTGGGCCTTCACACTGAACTACATCCTCCCAGCTTCCCTCTATGTTATTTTGAGACAAGATCTTGTTGTCACTTAGTTGTCTAGGCTGTCTTTCAGTCATCTTGCCTCAGCCTCAAAGAATGCTGGGGTTACAGTGTGTGCCACCACACCTGGCTGCTTTTTAAATCTTATTTTGTGTTGTTTTGGAACCATACCTCTGACTATCACCATATTTGCAACTCTCCCAAAAGAATCACTGAAATTAATTAGCAAAGATGGATGTATCTTTTCTTTGCCTCACATCACACAGAATATGAACACAGAGAGTCAGGGATTTAGCTCAGCGGCACAAGTGCCTGCCTTGCAAGCGTACAGTTAGGAGTTCAATCCCCAGTACAAAAAACAAACAAAAACCCCACATAAACACAGATGTACTCTGGGTTTATTTGGCACCTCCAGTTCCCAAACTAGTTAGACTTTTTTAACTAGAAGCTTTGAGGATAAAGTTGAAAGACAAGAACCTTGAGCTGGGGATTTAGTTCAGTGGTCAGAGCGCCTGCCTGGCAATCGCAAGGTTGTGAGTTCAATCCCTAGTACCAAAGAAAAGAAAGAAAGATAAGAGCCTTACGGTCTTGACTTTCTAACTCCTTTACTAGATTTTTCCATAAGGCTACAGCTGATATCCTATCCCCACCACTCCCTGGATCCCCTCTTTGGTATAACCCATGGGCATTCCACCACTTCATTACATCCCTAACCCTCTTTTAAAGTTTTGTTTTGTTTTTAAAGACAGGATCTGGCTAAGTTACCTATGCAGGACTTGTACTTACAATCCTCCTGCCTCAGTCTCCCTGAGAGCTAGGATTTTCTTACATTTTAAAAAGGGAGACAATTACACAACCGTATAATGTCTACTAAAATGTAAGTATGCTTACAAACAACCACACTATTATTGCCACACCAAGAAGTAACAATGATTTCATAATAGCAAATATTGAGACAGTTTTTATTTCCAATGGTTTCATAATATCAAATGTTTATTGATTTAAAAAAATTCAAGTCCAGGGCCGGGAATTTAGCTCAGTGGCATAAGCGCCTGCCTGGCGAGCGTGAGGTCACGAGTCCAATCCCCAGGACCAAAAAAAAAGTAAGAAAAAAATAAAATCAAAGTCCAAATAAATCCCACACTTTGTGATTGTTTAATTGTCTTTCAATCTCTTTTACTGCACAAGGATCCTCTTTCATCTCTTTCTTTCCTAGCAATTTATTGATTAAAGAAACTCACTTGTCATGGTAGCATAGCGGCACACACCCATAAATTCAGCACTCTGAGAGGCTGAGTCAGGAAGTTCCTAAATTCGAGCTCAATCCATGCAACTCGGTTGTGGGAGACCAGATAGGAAGCCTGAGGCCTACTTGGCCTCCTCTGTGAGCACTAAGAAAGACATCATGGACACATGGCAGGTTCTAGGGAAAAGTTAGTACAGCTGAGATCCTGTTGTTTACCTGGGCATGTACCATGGATGGTGGGAGGCAGATGGTGGAAGGTAGAGTAGTATTTAATTGGTTTTCCTGTGTCTGAGTGAACAAAGGCAGGGTAAGCCAATCATTCGGGGCTCTTTTTCAAAGGGAGACAAGACCCCTCCCAACCCCCACATTTTAACCAAATTGTGTCTCTTTGCTTTTTACCTTCGTCATCCTTCAGTAGGGTACAAAGCTCATAGGCTGGTTCTGACTTGGTAAGAGTCTGTCTCAAAATTAAAAGGCAGGGGAGAACTAGGGATATAGCAAGGGCCTTGGGTTTAATCCCTAGAACCGACATGAAAAGAAAGAAAAAAAAAAAAGAAAACTCAATTGTCCAGAACTTTTTCCCTGAGTTGGTAGCATATATGGGGTGCAGGTCACATCGTTCTGAAATTTGGTTGTGGGCATACTGATCTCTACATTTAAGTCATCAAGTAATTTGAATATATTAATATAAATCCCATTTGCTCTTTTTTCTGAAGAAACGCTCTAGATAACTCCCTAAATAGCGCTTCCATTCACTATCCTCCCACCCCCCACTCCCCGTCCCATACATTTCCAGTTAAGTAATTTAGTTTTGAAGGATACTCACAGGAAACGAAAAACGTTCTCAAAGTCAATTTCCCGCAGATAACCACTAGAGGGCAACATTGCCTTTATTATAGTTCTAATTTCCATTGTATCTAATTTGTTCTCGACAGGTTGAACCTCATTCTCTAACTCTACTTCTGATCTCACTTCTAATCCAAAATGTAACTGGGTTCTGTGTTACTCTCATGCTGTGTCTTTCGCATCATTTCTATCTTGACTCCATTCCCAGTTGTCACTGTGAGGCGGCAACCATGCCTAAAGACAAGAAAAAAGGAAAAATTAAGTGAAACTGCCAAAGAAAAAGTCAAACTAAAAGAAACTGCCGGGCGAAAGGGCTATTAATTTAAGAAGGAAAGAGACAAACCAGTTATTTTTTGGTTCGCATCCAACTCACGGCCCAAGGTCAGAACTGTGTAAAACACACCACAAAGGCGCCTTTCAGGAGTGGGAGAGGCCGCCTGGGGGACGCGTGCACAATCCCCTCCTTGATTACGCGGCTGCGCTGGCGGGGGCAAGGGCACGCTCGTGCACGCGCGTGCGAATGAATAGTAACTTCGCAGCAGCAGGACCTGCGTGGGTCGGGCGTGGGTCTGGCGGAACCAACGGCTTCCGGGAGAACCGCTTCCGGACGCGCGATCCTGCACCAGAGTGTGCGTGGCGCTTCATGGAGATCAGCCACTCTTTGTCCTGGAGGAAACCGAGTCCCGAGGGTCGGACAGCTCGCGCCACAGAGCCCAGCACCTGCGCTCAGCCAGGTGTTCGAGCGGGAGCCACTGCTCTCGCCTTATTCTTACCACCTGGCAGCAGGTGACGCTGCGGTGCAGAGAAGACAGCTCAATCAGGGATCCCTCAGAGAATCTGACAAGTTAGGACACCCTTCCCCCCGCCCAAGTACTGCTCCAGAAAGTGGGTGTGAAATTACAAAGGGGTGGTGGCACTCGGGGGATCACAAGCCTCCCAGAACCGTCCGTTTATCCGATGCCAGGTTAGGGAGAAATCGGGTTCCGTTTGGAGCCCGAGGTCACGTCCGTGAAGGAAACCAGCCGGATTTGGGAGGAGGCGAAAGAGCGCTTCTCCTCCCTCCAACGCAGCAGTCGCTTTCTCTCGGCAAACACGAAGCGCTTGGTGGAAGGTGGCGGTAAGAGGTGGCCGCCGGGCTCGCGTTCCCTCCCCCTTGTCCGTCCCCACCGCACCCCCGATGAGGAGTCCAGTAGGACTCTCGGCTACAGTAGGCTTTGCAAACACCCCAAGCCTGGATAGCCGGAAGGGGGACAGCGCACTTGGCTTTTCCTTTTCGATTTACTTTCAGTCATCAGCTCCTCAGCCTAGCGCTCCGACCTCTCCTTTCCCGGTCTCGGGCCCCCATTCCCTAGCCGGCTGCACCCCTCCTCCACCCTGGTCGCAGCCGCTTCCCTAGACCCTCAGCCTGCAGCCCCGCCTCCGCCGCCACGGGGTTCCACCCCGGACGGAGTGAAATCTACATAGTGCCCGCCTCTCTCGGGAATCATTGGTGCAGCCGTGCCAGTCGCGGTTCGTGATTGGTGAGTCGCCCGGCGTTATTTGCATAAGGGCCGCAGCCGGGTACCCAGCTGTGCGGGCGGCGGGCGCGGCGCAGAAGTTTGCAGAGCGCTTTCTCGCCGGCTGGTCCCGGACTTGCGCTGCGCCCGGCGCCACCGCCGCCTCCTTCCCTCCTTCCCTCCTTCCCTCCTTCCCTCTCCCGCCGCCACTGTCCTCTCGGAATTCCTTCTTCGCGAGGGACAGACGCTCTGGTGTGGGAAGTGGAGGTGGACGAGCGGCAGCGCGGAAGAGGAGCGGCGGGAAGCCGTCCCGTTGACAGCTCCGCGTCGGGACGCCGCCCGCGCAGGGCCCCGGCTCGCCGCGAGTGGCGCCCACCTTCCCGCGGCCGCCGGGCGGGCGATGCGGCCGCCGAGCCCCGCGGCGCAGAGAGGACGGAGGGCGCCAGGGAGAGCCTAGAGCGCGCTCGGCGAAGGGCGCATGGAGTGGTGAGCGCCCCTCGCTCGGCGAGGCCGCCCGCGGCAGGCTCCCCATGGCCGGGACGTACAGCTCCACCCTGAAGACGCTGGAGGACTTGACCTTGGACTCCGGGTATGGGGCCGGGGACTCGTGCCGCTCGCTCAGCCTCTCGTCCTCCAAGTCCAACTCGCAGGCGCTCAACTCTTCGGCGCAGCAGCACCGCGGGGCGGCCTGGTGGTGCTACTCCGGCTCCATGAACAGCCGTCACAACAGCTGGGACACGGTGAACACGGTGCTGCCGGAGGACCCCGAAGTGGCCGATCTCTTCTCGCGCTGCCCGCGGCTCCCGGAGCTGGAGGAGTTTCCCTGGACCGAGGGAGATGTGGCGCGGGTGCTACGCAAAGGGGCCGGTGCGCGGCGGCTGCCCGCGTTCTCCGTGGAGGCGGTGCGGCGCCTGGCGGGGTTGCTCCGCAGGGCGCTCATCCGCGTGGCCCGCGAGGCGCAACGCCTGAGCGTGCTGCACGCCAAGTGCACCCGCTTCGAAGTGCAGAGCGCCGTGCGCCTGGTGCACAGCTGGGCGCTGGCCGAGAGCTGCTCGCTGGCTGCGGTCAAGGCGCTGTCGCTCTACAGCATGAGCGCCGGCGACGGGCTGCGCCAGGGCAAGTCCGCGCGCTGCGGCCTCACCTTCTCTGTGGGCCGCTTCTTCCGCTGGATGGTGGACACCCGAATCTCGGTGCGCATCCACGAGTACGCGGCCATCTCGCTCACCGCCTGCATGGAGAACCTGGTAGAGGAGATCCGGGCTAGAGTTCTGGCCAGTCAGAGCCCCGATGGCAGCGGGGCAGGAGGTGGGGAAGTGTCCGCAGAGGCCTTGGAGATGGTCATCAACAACGACGCAGAGCTCTGGGGCGTCCTGCAACCCTACGAGCACCTCATCTGCGGCAAGAACGCCAATGGTAAGTGTGCTGGCCTTGACCCACGCGGGACGGGAGTCCGTTTCCTCGAACGAACGAACCTGCTGTTCATGCCGGGACTACGCATGTGGTTTGAGGATGGAGTTCATTACATGGCTTTTGCCAGAGATTGGGATACCAGGCTTTGGAGGATAATATTGTGGCCATTCTTCTTTTTTTGGTTCTGCATACTATTAGGACTTTCTGGGGACCCTTCACTGATTGGGTGATATTCAGGCTTTGGACCAAACCCTTCCAGAAGCTCCGCCGCTCTTTGCCTTGGTGGTGGTCTAGTTGTCTGTTTTTTTCTGTTTGTTTGTTTGTTGTTGTTTGTTTTTGTCTAGCCTGAGTTTCTGTCTCCAGAGTTCATCCTAATAGCAGCAGCATCCTAAGAAGTCCAACCCTCAAGACCTGAGGCTTGAATAAGTGGGCTGGGCAAGGACTGTGACAAGCCGAGGACATGTGCTGAATCTTGGTTTATTTGGGTTGAAGGATACCCAGGGTTGTGTCCACTCTCGGAGGATGAAGGACGAGTGGTGGGTTGCCAACACTGGGTGCCCAGAAGTGGTGGAACTGAGGGCTCCTGAAGCCCCTTAGCAGAAAAGGGAACCACATGCTGACTCCCAGGGCCTCATTTTCCAATTTGTCATTAACCAAATGAGCAATTGATTTAAAACCCTTGCTGAATTATATGAACAGCCCCTGTGACTTTCCCAGAAGGAAGGGTGATCCACTCAGTCAGCTGCATTATGAGGGAAGGGTGGGCGTCTGTGTGATATCCACTCTGGGAAAGGAACAATTTGCACTTCTCTGAAAGATGCCGTCACTTCAGTGAAAAGGACAAGGCAAAATATTTGACCTTCTCCCTGGTAAGGTTAGGGTGTGCCCTGCATTCAGCAGCAACCTGTCCATCAGACTCCAATTTCAGAAGCCCGGACCATAAATTATTTAGAATAGACTATGGTTAGGCATCTTGGCAATCTAATTGGAAGGTCCATTTAGGGGACAGTATAGGGACAGATAAGTAGGCAGTGGAAGAGGCCAAATGGTACTAGAAGGAAATAGCCAAATTCAAATGTGGTTTAACATAGTTATAAGAGCTGAAAATTAATGTATTAGTCACTGTTAGGGGTCTATTAGCGATCTGTAACGTTAGCTGACCTATTAGATAGTGTGATACAGTGAAATACTGTATGTGCATTTGGTCTTGCCCTTTTCCTGGCATATGACTCTGAAAATACGTGGTATCTCCAAAGTGGTAATGTCTGTTTGTATTCTAATGAGTTGACTAATAGAAGGTCACCTCTGGGCAGCTTCAGGATTGGGACTGGTTGTCAGAAAAAGTAAGGTAGGACTTTAGAGGACTGAGACTTTGAGCCCCAGGTCCACAAACTTCCCAGGAGAGGAGAGTGGCACGGCACTAAGTTGATAACCAGTGGACAAGGATTTAATCATGCGTTGGTGATGAAGTCTCTACTCAAAAAAGGACAGGGCTGAGAGTGCTTCAGGATAGCTGAACAAATGGGGATTTCTGGAAGATGCTGGGCCTTCTCCCAAACCTTGTCCTGTATGTTTCTGTGTTTCTATCCTTTGTAACAGCCTTTATCACAAAATAGTAAACATGTTTCCCTGAGTTCCATGAGTTGATCAAGCAAATGAAACCAGAGGAGCTTGTGGGCACCTTACTTTAGAGCTAGTAGGTCAGACAGGTAAAACTCCTGGGGCTGGTGATGCTGTCTGGGAAGGCAGCAGTCTTGAGGCCAGAGCCTTCAGCCTGCGGACGTGCTGACTGGCATCTCTCCAGGTAGATAGTGTCAGAGTTTAATTGAGTTGAATTAGAGGACACACAGCTGTGTCTGCTGCAGAATGCTTGCTTGCTAGTGAGGAGAAAGCCCCACACAGAAATCTTCTGTATTGTGTGGTATGAGAACAGAGGAAAATTGGTTTGTTGTTCCAACAGACAGGTAGCTATACTGTTCTGTCCATTATATAGATGGGGAAGCTCCCCAAGACTACATAAGTATTAAGTGCAAAACTGGAGTTTGAATTCTAGAGACTTCAAGCTTTGTTTTATTAGTCCAGCTTCCAAAGTAAACCATGGACGTGCTCATCCTCATTTCGAAGACACTGTACTGGCCCAGTGTAGCTAACTTGGCCTTCCCCTGCTTTGGTTTTCGATGTCTGGCACTGCCAGAGGGCACGCCTGCAGTGGAAGAGCATTTGCCTTTTAATTTTCTTCCTCTTAGGTCAGACCTGAGGTCAGTCCGGAAGTCTAGTCAATGACATCACAGCTGATAATTGTGCTTTGCCCTCCAAGTTCATGGCTTCAGCCCTGGGAGCACCAACCAGCTCCAGGAAAGGAAGGAAGAATAGGGGGATTTCCAGCTGTTTATCATGGCAGGAGGTCTGGACCGAACTTAAAGAAAGGCTCCTAGGAGAAAAAACTGAAGCCCTAACCCTAGGAGCAAAGCTAACATAACAGCGGGGACAAAACATGTCTTTGACCACCACCTAACATCTGTTTTGTTTTCGTTTTTTGCTTGTTGTTGTTGGTTTTGGTTTGGGTTTTTGTAATACCGGTCCTTCTCAATGGGCTACATCCCCAACCATTTTTTATTTTTCATCTTGAGACAGAGTCTGGCTAAGTCACTAAGTTGCCCAGGTATGGCTCAAACTTGTGATCCTCCTGCCTCAGCCTCCCAGAGTGATGGGTCCCAGTTCTTAAGCCATGATAGTGAAAGCAGTAACTTTCCCTAGACAACGGATAGCAGTGCTTCCGGGATCCTCAAAGCTAGTGTCTCCCTCGATGCCTTTTCTAGGCTCCTGGGACCTTCTTAGAGGCCAGATGACCATTTGTTTCCACTTAGTAACATGGACGTCCATTTCTTATACTTGCAAACCAGGGGGTAGCCTCACTGAACAACAACTAGACTGATTTATGAAGTCCCTTTAGACAAAGTGAAATGAATATTTAGTAGAAAACCAATGAATCACATATGCCTGAGAGCTGACTTCAGAGGGAAACATAAACTACTTAGAAATGAAGAGATCCCAAACCTTGGTTATATTAAAATACCCCAAGGCCAGCATGGCTACAGTTTATACAGCTGAAGACCAACTGAGGAGCAGCTACATATGGGAGAAAGAGTGTGGTTAGTATTCTTGCCCTGCTGGTCTTCCCTTTAAATTATATATTTATTGTTGTTGTGCCTGCTAATTATACAGCACGGGCACATGCATTTGACTCAGCGATACAGAGCTCTTAAACTTTTAATGTCTTCCAACCAGGAATTTAAGAGCCCTAATCCATCTATCCTTATCCATTACTCAGAATGCCAGACAAATATGGCTTTGCTCAGCCCAAGACAGAGGATAAAAGTTCTCTGGTGTTTATAAGACATCCAGCTCCGTGGAGCAGCAGAAGTTATATATTGTGGCTCATTTGATATTGACGTCTGAGATCCTAGAGCAGTGTCATTAAGCGATGATATCTCTGTGATTTCCTTATTGGGAGGCAGAGGAACCACTTTAATAGAGTAGTATTTATAAACAGGG